AATTTAATTTAATTTAATTTAATTTAATTTAATTTAATTTAATTTAATAATTTAAGTTCCACAAGCCACAGATGCATTTTTAGCAACAGCTAGTGTTGTTCTGGTGTGTTTGCCTGCCAAGTGGAGCTTCATATACAGTATAATGGAAATGGGTATTTGATAGAAGGCCTTTGCAGATACTGTACCTATATCATCATCCCTATTTTGTCAGCTGAGAACACTGAGGAATATTCAGATATTCCCTATTCAGTATGTGGAGAATTCTCAAATTTGTAAAAGGGATCTTTTCATCCATAGTTCCAGGAATTTAGGGAAGAGTTCTTTCTTAATTCTAGAGCAAAAAGCAAGCGTATCATGATTCAGCAAAGGGAATATGTAGGCTGAAACAGAATTTTTCTCCAAAAAGAGTGAAAAAGGGATACATGCTTACATGTCTGAGAGAGAGAAAGAGGTTGCATAGTGAGCAAGCTACAACACAAAACAGTACAGCTGTCAAACAGCCAGATTGCTTTAAGGATTTTAAAGGGCACTCATAAAAGACCATTCCCCTAGCAAGTTAGGTCAGGCTGAACAGCAGGGAGCTTATTCCACTTTCCTAGTCACTCTTTCCAAAAAGATACCTAGGTACCTAGAGAAGATATACACCACAACAATTTCATAGTAATGCAACTGTAGTTTCATCAATTCAGATGGACAATTTGAAAGAAGGCGTTTTGTTTTAGAGAGAAAAATATGAGATGGTAACGATAACCCCAGGGTTATTTTAATATCCCTACCTCTACTTTTTCTACCACTTGCTTCCCAAATGAGCAGACTTTGGTGGAACAGGTGATTGTCATGTTTTCTGAACTTTCATATTGACTAGTTACACCATAGAATGCTCCTGTATCATCTTGGATGTTGCAATTTAAATCCGCCTGTAAGGAAAACAACATTGATGTGAGAAGCAATTAGCAACTGGCATCCTACTTTTAGGCAGGCCACCCTTGAACCACAAAGAGCCCACTTAGATGCAAAGGAATACATCATCTTGATTCCCGCCGCATGCATAAATTTCTTACCAAGTGACTTTCCACTGCAATTTTGCAAGGCAGGATTATTTCATCTAAGGTTTGGATTCAGAATTCCTGAGCCATAAAACCTTTTGACTATTTTGACTAGCCAGTTTCTAACTCCAAGAAGTAAGAAGATATAGCTGTTCAATGGGAAGAATATCGCTTTTCTACTATTTGAACTGGATACATAAAAATAAGCCCTCCTTTGAAATGAAAAGAGCTAGAAATATATACTTTTAGCCCCATATTTGCTTGGAAATAAGATTTTAAAGAGAACAACCAATGATTCCCTATGTCAATAATGAATCATATCACACATTGGTTTATATAATAACCCACCACAAATAATAAGGACAACCCTCCAAACTCAGATGGCATAGGCATAATTTGGATCATTGGGAATCCAATTTCTTATAATTAATTTAATTATAGCAATTTTAAGAACAGTTCAGAGTGACCACTGAAATTCTTCATTAAATTCATAGGAGTGAAAATACAGCTACATGCCACATGTCACTGAAGAGTAAGGAAGAAGATTGCCTGATGTTCTTCAACACAGCCACTGAAAATTGCAACCATGGGTTCATGCCCTCTGACAACTTCTCAGCCACTCACTGAGAGACACAGGAAATAGGAGAATGGATTACCTGTTGCAGTGTGTGCATAACTACATAAATGAAAAGAAATAAGGACATGAGACTAGCATATGTTTTGAGAAAGTGTGTGAAAATTTGCAGGAAAAATCTTCTATTCAAATCCTCCCTGCCAACACTACACTTGTAAAACATAGCAAAGGTGGAATGGCTTTATATAATAAAACAGAACTATCCAATCTTTTTGCAGACAGACTTGTCTGGAGAAAGTAACACCAAGATATTACCATAAAATGGAGGGTGCCCCATAGATGACTGGCAGCATGCTGTGATTGGATTCAGCCAATCTCAGAGAACAGTAAACTTGAGAGGCTAAAAGACGTGTCTGTCAAAGAACCTGACTATATGACAGAGATATGGACAGAATAACAATTAGAAATATATCCAGATATACGTATTACAATTCAGGATTATCCCTCCCCTCAACTCCTTGTTTTCCACCTCACATTTCTCAAACAAAAGTGATTTACTCAACCCAGAAACTCATGGCTCTCTTTTAGGTTCAGCACCCAAATATTTTCCTTCCCAAGTTTCTCCTGAATTATGTCAACATGTAAGACTCCTAGTTATGTTCTGCAACCCTCCTCCCAGGACAAATACAGGTAGCCCTTGGTAACAACCATTTGTTCAATGACTGTTCAAAGTTACGATGGCGCTGAATGAGGAGACTTTACAACTAGTCCTTGAAGTTGCAGCTGTTACAGTGTCCCTGCAGTCATGTGATTGCAATTCAGGCACTTGGCAACCAGCTTGCAATTATGACAGTTGCAGCATCCCGTGGTCACATGATCACCATTTGCAACTTCACTACCAGCTTCCAACAAGCAAAGTCAATGGGAAGCCAGCAGAAGGTCACAAATGGTGATCATGGGATGTCATGCTTAGCGACCATGCAGGATTCGCTTAATGACTGCAGCCAGAACTGCCAGAACGTCCGCCATAAGTCAGTGCGGTCACGTGACATCACGCTTTACAACTGCATTGCTTAGTGTTGGAGTTTCTGGTTCCAATTACTGTTGCTAACTGAGGACTACCTGTAACTGTTTCCTTCTCCCTCAAATCAGTTATTTCTAATCTCTTCCCATCCTCACCCCACTATTGTCACACTTCTACTGACTTTCTCCTTTATCTGGCAGTTGGTGTAGCTCTTCCTTTGGTGGAAAAGGAAGTAGCAGGAGCACATTAGAGTAAAGTACAGCCCTCTGGCCACTTTTTATCTTGACTTCTCAAGAATGTGAGGCCTAGAGGAATGATGAAGAATAAAGATGGATGGATTGCTTTGTGTTGAAGCACTCCCAGTTACGCCCCTCTATTATAAAATCAGCATGAGTGCAGGAGGAGATATTTGTAGTGCAATGATGCCCAAGGTATAGCATTACCTCCTCTTTCCACCTGTATTAAAAGGAACAAATGAAGCAAATGTAAAAGTATGGAGTCAGCCCTAACTCTTGGTAGTATCTGAGTATCCTGTTCATATGAAATTTGTACTGATGTTTATACTCCCATATTATTTTAATGCACATACGTGGAAGGTACATAGGTTGGGGTTTGAAGAAAATTTGGGATGGCTTTGCAGGTATTCTTGTCACTAGTTAGTTAGCTCCAAAGAGAAAGAAGTTGCACCTAACTGGAAGAGTAATATAATTACTGAGATTTCTTCAGCAATACATCTTTTTGCAAATCTGCATGGGACTGGTTATCCAAAGATGAGACACTGAGGTCTGAACAAGTATCCCTAGTTTAGACTCCAATAATATGTATCTTGTACAGCACTGTTCTAAAATGAAAAGGCTTTACAGATTGACCAAGTTTTTATTGAGAACATTTCTGCAGATATTAAATTGAAATAATGATAACATACAGTGTGAAAAGCTTCTGTAATATAATCTTTTTTTCCTACTTCCACATGAGCCGCGTCATCATTTTATTCATTTTTTCTAGTTCTACCACTAATATAAATTTAATATTGTAGAGTCTCAAATAATTTGCTAGGCACTCTTCCTAAAAGTTAATGAAATCAATCTGTTGTCAATTTGCTGTCACAGTTGACTAGTTGTTATAACTGAACATAAGGAAAGTTATTTTGCCAGGCAAAGTCACTCTACTGATTTTTAAAAACATTGTATGAAATGTAATTATTTTGTGGTGCATGAATCATCTTTCTATCCAGAGTAGTCATTTCGGTTACAATTGCAGGTCTGGTTTTATCATCAGAATTTTATTGGCCTCAGTCACTGTCCTGAGTAGCAATGCTCCTGAGGTAAATTATCATCATCTCCTGTTTTCATCATTCAGAAACACATACCTTAGAGGCCTCACGCTGAGGCAAAGATCATAAAACCAAATCTTGTATGGGATTCTAGAAATGCTAACAGGAGGCCCACTCCTCAAGAGGCCTCTCTTGGATTTGTGTATACTGTGTTAGGCAACTATGCTCCCATATCTGCCTTCCCTTTGGAGAAAGACAGTGGAAGAAATGGTGAGGTAACAGCTTCAGAGAATCCTTAAAAAAATTTTTTTAGACCATGGCCGTCAGGATTCAGACCTAGGCCCAAGACTGAAACTGCACTGGTCACTCTCACTGATGTTTAGTGGTAAGGTATGGATGATGAAAGGTGGCTATACTTGTCTTGCTAGACCTTTCAGCTATTTCTGATACTGTTGATCATAGTATCCTTATGAAACAGCTAAGCATGTAGTGAGTTGGAGGCATCATTTTATGGTGGATCTGCTCATCCTCAGAGGTTCCAGTTAATTGTTGTGGGGGGATAGGTCACACCTTCCATTATTAGGGTTAGGGTTTCAGTTGGTGCAAAGGGCAGTGCTCCATATGTCTACTAGGCAAACTCATTACTGCCATGTAAAGCCACTGCTGTGGGAGCTACACTGGTGATAAATATATTTCTAGGCACAGTTGAAGGTGCTGGTTATTACCTACGAAGCTCTATATGGCTCAGGACCTGAGTTTCTTCAGGACTACCTGCCCAGTACAGATTCTGTCCACTCAATCATCACAAGGTTGCAAAACACGCCTTGATTTAGCACATTTGGTTCTGAGTTTGTGTGAGTGTTATTACTGAAACTGATATAAAAGAACTTTCCATCAGCATACTTCAAGAAATGAAATTTTAGGTTTGGGATGGTATTTGTTTTTCTACTCTTTATGTGTTGACTTGTACATTTGCAAAAGCACTGTGTCCAAATTAAAAAGGGAGAGGTGGAAGAAGAAACATCTAACATCTAAATCTAGTCCAAGATTTGAACTGTACCATGATTAAACCCAACTGGAAACAGAGAACTGGATTATTTCCTGCTTCGAGCATTTTTTTAAAGGTAAGGGTAGTGGCAAGTTACAGTCTAAAATCACAACAGCTTCAGTGTTAGATTTCCATTTAATGCAAATACTTCAGCAACATCCTGGAAAATAGTACTGGCCATTTCCCAGGCACTTGTTCTCTGTGTCTGTTGATTACATATAATGCATTCATCCATCAGTATAATGCAGCTTGTCAGTACGGAGCGCTGGAAATTTTACATATCAAGCCTATCAGCTGTTTGACATGATGCATGAAAACGGCTCCTGCTGAAGGCCCGCAGCAGGCATTGAAAGAGAGCTGGCTGAAAACAAGACTACTTCAAGTGAAGAAAAGACTGAAATACAGAAAAAGAAGGCATTTGCCTGCATGTGTTTTACAACAGCCTGCTTAAACAATTTGCTTTAGTTTTTTTTCCAGTAGCATTTGCAAAAAAAGACCGAAGTCCTTTTGCCATAAACAGGGGGGGGGGGGGCTTAGACTGTATTTCCTGAGGGAGCAGCATAATTAAAAAACAAAATATTCAGTAGTTAAAATTGAAGATGGAGGCTCATTTGCTAAATGGCATTGAGGCTTCTTGTCATTACCATGAGCTGCAATGAGTTGTCATTCTTATGGGCACATCGTGCTTCCCTCCCCTTCCAGTGAACAGTGATCAAAGGGCAGAGATTCATTCCAATTTCTTTTCTTTTCTCTTTTTTTTCCAAGTGCAGCATCTGGAACTTTGGCCCTGTTTGCTGCCGGTTTTGCATTGCCCCACGGCTCAGCTTTTTGCTGGCCAAGCCAAGCAACTGTACTTCCCAACAGCCCTCTGATTCATTCACGAGAATGAACATGTTTGTATCAAGTTGAGAAAGAATTTTGTATTCAGGTCCTGAAGGTCCCTGGGCAGGAA